CAGCCGCGGGGGCCGGGGGGCAGGTGTGCTGGGGGGCGGGGGCGGATGAGGGTGTGCAGGAGCCTCTGGCCCCGTGGCCGGCAGCCCCGTCCCCTTGTCTCCATCCGCCCTGGACGCATCCCTGGTTTCAGAAACGGGTGGCCTCCTGTGGGTGGGCAGTGCCTGTTGGTCGGACCCCAGCCTCACCTGGACCACCCTCTCCCAAGCCTCTCCCGCCAGCTCCCATCTGGCAAGGCCCTTGGGCAAAGGTAGGGGCTGAGAAATAAAGAAGTCAACCCCGTCACCCCCTCAATCAACACTGTCGGCGTCAGGGGTCCCTGGCCCCACCCACCCAGGGTACCCCTCACCCCCTGCAGTTCTCAGGTCCTGGGGCCCTGGAGGCCCAGGCAGACTTCCATCCATCTCTGGAGGCCAAGGCTGGTGCCGCCCCTCCCCGTCACCTGTGCTGCCCAGGCAGGGCCAGGGCCAGGGCCAGGGCCACCTCCTCCCACAGGGTCACAGGGTCATGGGGACCACCCTCTCCCATTCTCAGGGGCTCTGAAGTGTGGGAAGCAGTCACTTCCCTCCACCCCAGGCCCTGCGGGGCTGCCATGGGCCAGGCCGGAGGTGGCAGGACACCCAGAGGGGGAGTGTCCCTCTGACTCCCCGGCCACAGAGGTGCTCAGAGGTCCCGCCCACCCTGCAGACCCCAGGCCCTCCCCCAGCGCCTCCCAGTGGCCACCGGACACCCAGGGCCTCCTGGCCTCCCTCCAGCCTCGCCTTACCGGCCATCCTCCCAGGATCCCCTCAGCTCGCCCACACCCCAGCGGGGTCGGTTCTCACGCTTGCCCCCGACACCCCGTCCAACCCCTGCTGGACCCAGCGAAGTCCTGGACTGCGCTGGGCCGGCCTCCAGCTCAGGCAGATGAGAGCACCCTGCTGGGCACCCGAGGGTCCTGAGGACGTCCTGGCCTGGCCGCCCCTGTTCAGGGACATAGAAAGGGAATGGACTGACTATTCTTGGGGGGGAAAGGGGTGTGGGAGACACGCGGGGGCGGCGTGGCCTGTGGCCTATCGCGGGGTCAGCTCCCGCCTCCTGGGCTCCGGCCACCTGTGACCCTGCTCAGGCCTAACTGCTCTCACCCTCCCAGCACCTCTCCAGGCTCCAGGGGGACGCATGCCCCCCAGAGCCGTAGGGTCCTCCCCAAAAGGTGCTGCCATGCCCTAACCACCCAAGGCTCCTGCCCTGACCAGCAAGCCACCGCTTCCAGCTGCCACCTCCAGGATAGTGGGGGGCAGGGGTCCCCAACCTCCAGGCTAGTGGGGGGCAGGGGTCCCCGATCTCCAGGCTAGTGGGGGACAGGGGTCCCCGACCTCCAGGCTAGTGGGGGGCAGGGGTCTCTAACCTCCAGGCTAGTGGGGGCAGGGGGCCCCGATCTCCAGGCTAGTGGGGGGCAGGGGTCCCCGATCTCCAGGCTAGTGGGGGGCAGGGTCCCCGATCTACAGGCTAGTGGGGGGCAGGGGTCTCTAACCTCTAGACTAGTGGGGAGCAGGGTCCCCGACCTCCAGGCTTTGGTCTGGACAGAGAGGAAGCGTCCAGACGGGCCAGGGCTCCCCACGCACCTTCCAAGTCCCCGTCCCGGGTCTTGGCTGCCAGCTCGGAGGACGACAGGGTCTCCTGGCACAGGGCACAGTCCTCCAGGGCCGCGCCCCGCAGGGTCTGGGCGACTGGAAGAGAAGGGTGCCCGCTGGGTCCACGCCCCATCACCATCCCCGGCCGGGCACCGTGGAGAGGCCGTCTCTGCCCAGGGCTGGGATGCGGGCTTCTGGGTTCCCCCACCCCTGGGCGCTGGACACCCCAGTCAGCAGGCGGCAGAGCCTGTCCCGGGGGGCACTCACCCTTCCGGAACTTGTCCTTGTCGTCCATCTCCGGCTTGGTGGCCATGACCTCGAAGAGGGTCTTGAGAATACTTCTCAGGTCGCTGGCGTAGTTGGTCTGCAGCTGGTCAGCCACCCCTGGGGAGGGGGGAGACGAGGAGGCGGTGGGCTGGCCGCCTGGGGACCGTGTGCCTGCAGCTGGTCAGGGCGAAGTAGCCACCAGCCGGGACGCGGCTTTGGCGGAGGCAGGAGCTGGGTACGTCACCTCCTTCGGGCCACCGCAGCCACCGCTGCGCAGTCCTGGCCCCTCACTGCGGGGATCTCAGAGCCCGCACCATGCCCACCGCAGCAGCACCGCCCCCGGCCACGGCCATGCAGCACCTGGACGTGCCCGCCCCACGGCAAACACCGCTGCCCCAAATACTGTGACTGCAGGGCCGCAGGAGTAAGGCCGGAGGTGGTACCCGGCGCCCAGCTCCTCTGTGCCCCAGCCCCCAGCCACATCCGGGCAGGGAAACGCGACCCCACCCCCACCAGCAGGGGCTCCCTCCTTCCAGAAACGGGTGGACCCAGCCTTTCCCGGTGACCAGCAATGCTGCTGTTTAGGGGGCCACCGGGCTATGCTCTGCAAAGCCAGGGAGGAGCGGTGTGCACCCCAAATACGGATGCCCTGTGACTGCCCCCAACGACTGTCGGTGGGAGTGACTGTCCGTGGGAGTGACTGTCCCCGGGAGTGACTGAGGCCGAGCTCCCGGAGGCTCCTGGCGTGCGGCCAGGCACCAGCTCCTTTGCCATCAAACCCGCCGTGGGGGCCCGGCCGGCCTGGCTCGGGTTGAGCTTTGACCTAGGAACCAGGAGCTCATGGTTTGATTCCCCGTCAGGGCACAGGCCCGGGTTGTGGGCTCGATCCCCAGTGCGGGGCGTGCAGGAGACAGCCAACCATTGATTCTCTATAGTCATTGATGTTTCTATCTCTCTCTTCCTCTCCCTTCCTCTCTGAAATCAATAAAAATATATTTATGGCAGTGATTCCTGGGCTCATGACCCAGGTGGTTACCCTGCTGTGCTGGCTCCTGCCTCTTCTCTGCAACCGGGGCAGAGGGGGCACCGGAGGGTGTGGGGGCAGAGGGGGCACTAGAGGGTGTGGGGACAGAACCCGCTGCAGGACAGGCACTGCCTAAGCCCCTCCCTGGGCGGGTGGGGAGGCGCGCATGGCGGGACCCCATACTGTATACTTCTGAACCACCGGGGTTTGTACTCATTTAAAACACACAAAACGAAAGGAAACCGCGAACAAGGCGCCCTTTGCTCACGCCCTCTCTGAACCCCCTGGGGGACAAAACAGCCCCCCCTTTCTGTGAGCCGTGGAGGAAGGAAAGACAAACTAGTCAGGACGCAGACGGACCCTGACCCCAAGGGGCCATCGCAGGAGGGGGGAAGGACTATGACAGCGAACAAAGCTTGCTCTCTGCTGGGCGCAGGGTGCATCGCAGGGCGTGGGGCGATGACAAGACAGAGCAGGGGCCGGCAGACAGGGCCGGGCACCCCCGCACCCCGACATCAGCCAGCACCCCCCAACATCATCGCATCATCGTCAGGATGTCACCCGCAGCCGACCTCAGCCCCACGGGCATTGGCTGCCTCCCGGAAGCACAGCCCACGCCCACCAGCCCACACCGCCCAGGCCCGCACGTGGCACCTGAGATGCAGACGAACAGGCGGTGGATCAGGTCGTGGCTGCCGTGGAACCTGGACCGGATCTTCTCTCTCGTGGCCACGGGGGCCGCCTCCAGCACGGCCCTGTCCGTGGAGCAGGCCCCGGCCGGGGAGCCGCTGCACAGAGAAGCAGAACGGGGGTTGGGGGGCCTGTGCCTGGTGCTCCGCGGGGAGAACAGAGAAGAACCCGGTCTGTGTGGGCCAGAGGCTGGTGGCTTGGCCATCTACACGAGAGGCTGGGAGTGGCTCAGGGCCCGCCGCCCGGAAAGGGTCCCCAGCTCTGTCTGTGAACCAGGAGGTCACGGTTCGATTCCCAGTCAGGGCACAGGCCCGGGTTGCGGGCTCAATCCCCAATGGGGGGCGGGGTGCAGGAGGCAGCCGATCCATGACTCTCATCACTGATGTTTCTGTCTCTCTCTCCCTCTCCCTTCCTCTCTGAGATCAATAAAAACGTATTTTTAAAGAAAGAACATAACAGGTGTTGGTGACTTGGAGAAATCAGAGCCCTCGGACCTCCTGGGCGGGAGGCGGGATCCGACGGTGCAGCCCCTTCGGAAGCCAGCCCAGCAGCCCCGAAGCAGACCAGACACGTCCCACAGGATTGATGGGAGAACAGTGAGGCGCGGCCAGACAGCGGGATTGTCAGCACAGCAAGGGGCTCTGACCCGCCACAGCGCCCGCACGGCCCGCCTGTGCAGGTCCGCTTCCCTGGACAGCCTGGAGCAGCAGAGGGGCTGGCAGCCTCCAGTGCTGAGCGGAGGTGGGTGGGGTGTACCCCTCCCCCCAGGAGGGGTGGTGGCAGTGGCCTGGTTCCTCTGGGGCACAGCGGGACCCGAGTCCTGTGCGAAGCCCGGTTGGGGAAAGGGTCCCCGCTACGCCACGGGACCTGATCCTGTCGCACATGCCGTGTGTGCGCGTCTGGAAAGCTAGGCGGGCACACGCGTGTGTGCGTGTATAAATAGATGTGTTGTCGCACGGGCCCAGGACTGTGCAGCGTCCTGGCGCCACACCTGCTGCTGCTTTTAAAAGCTCCGAACAGAAGGCGTGACGGCTGGCAGACCAAAGCTGCAGGGACGCGGCTGAGGGCACAGCCCCCCTCCTGCCGCACCCCCTCACACAGCACCCCTCCTGCTGCACCCCTCGCACAGCACTTCAACCTTCCCTCCCGTCTCTGCCTCTGGGAGGAGGAGAGGAGATGCCTGCTTCAGGGCAGCAGCTGCTCAGACAGGAATCCTGCTCCCCTGGGATGGAGGACGATGACCGATGACCGTTGAGGCTGTGGCCTCCTTGGTGCCTGCCCCTCCGCCCCGCCCCCTCCTGCTCCCCAGGACTACCAGTGCTGACAAGCACACTCGCTCTAGCTCAAAGCCCTGCTTCCACCCCGGACTGTGGGGTCCCCTGGTGCCCCAGGGAGCCAGGAGTCGGGCGGGAAGTGAGGCAGGACTGGGGGGATGCGGCCCTCCTCGGGCTCCGGGGAGGAGGGGACAGCCTGCAGCCTGGACTCGGCCAGCCCTGTTCTCTCGGAGCCGCCCCGGCAGGGTGTCCACATGGCGACCGGTCTGGGGACAGGGACCCTGCCAGAGGGAGCCCGCCGCCTCACGCCGGGGAAGCTGGGCTGGATGGCCACCGGCACTGGGCGGGGCGGAGGGCAGCTGCAGGGCAGGGATTGGGGGGAGCGGCAAGAATGTGAGAGACTGGACATGAGCCCGGTGGCCCCCTCCCTCACTGCAGGCATTCCCGAGGCCAGCTGCCTCCCAGGCCAGGTGCCCCTGGATCGAGGGTGAGATAAGAACTCTCAAACTCAACATGGAAGCACACACAGAAACAGCACAAGGTTTGAACAGACGGTGGTGACAACCCTCAGTGATGGGGTGATGATGGCCAGGAACAACCCTCAGTGATGGTGGTCATGACTGTAACAGTCCTGAGTGACGGTGGTGAGGACAGTGAGTAACAGCCCTGAGTGACGGTGGTGATGGCTGGTGACAGCCCTGGGTGACGGTGGAGATGGCTGGGGACAGCCCTGAGTGACGGGGGTGATGGCTGGTGGCAGCCCTGGGTGACGGTGGAGATGGCTGGGGACAGCCCTGAGTGACGGGGGTGATGGCTGGTGGCAGCCCTGGGTGACGGTGGAGATGGCTGGGGACAGCCCTGAGTGACGGGGGTGATGGCTGGTGGCAGCCCTGGGTGACGGTGGAGATGGCTGGGGACAGCCCTGAGTGACGGTGGTGATGGCTGGTGACAGCCCTGGGTGACGGTGGTGATGGCTGGGGACAGCCCTGGGTGACGGTGGTGATGGCTGGTGACAGCCCTGGGTGACGGTGGTGATGGCTGGTGACAGCCCTGGGTGACGGGGGTGATGGCTGGTGGCAGCCCTGGGTGACGGTGGAGATGGCTGGGGACAGCCCTGAGTGACGGGGGTGATGGCTGGTGGCAGCCCTGGGTGACGGTGGTGATGACTGGTGACAGCCCTGAGTGACGGTGGCCATGACTGAGTAACAGTGGCTGAGTGACAGTGTCCAATAGCAACAGGTCATGGGGTCTGTAACAGGCTGATAAGACAGGGAGTGAGGTCAGAAACGACAAGCATGGCACTCAGCTCCTCCTCCAGACGCCATGGCACTGGGGACTGTCGCCCATTTTACAGATGACAAAACGGAGGCTGAGGGAGGTTGTTGACCGGCCCCAGGTCAGACAGCCAGTCCACGGCCCTTTATCCCCTGGGCCCTCCGTCCCACTGCACTCGGAGGTGCTCCCCACACAGGGAGCAAGGGCCCAGTGCCAGCATTCCCCGGGAGATGTCCCCGCACCCGCACTGCACCGCACGCTCTGGGAGGGGGGCTCGCGGCCAGAGCACAGCACCGGTTAGGGCAGAAGCTCAGAAGCCTGTGCGGCGGCAGCCCTTCCAGATCCCGCCATTCTGCCTGTTAGGGTGGCCAAGGAGGAACGCACGAGGCCAGAGTGGTGAGGGATCACGAATTTATTCACTGAGTCAGAGGCGTTTAAAGGACTCTAGGCAGGCTTTTCTGGGCGGAGAGTTCTCTGTGCAGGTCGGGATTCTGGGAAGTCAGGGGGAGAGAATGGTCTTAGCAGGTGGATTGTGGTCTAGGCAAGTGGCATGTCCATGTGAAGTGTCTAAAGGTGAGCTCCCAGGGGAGGGACTATCGATTCAATTGCTCGATCAGACCTAACACTCTCCAAACGACAGCCAGGGAGGCCCCCCTCAGCCAGAGCCAGTCTCGCTCTCTGATGGTTGGAAAGGGTCTCAGGAGACCAGACGGCCTGGACCTCAAATGGGGGGCGCGGAGTGGGTGGGAAGCTCAGAGGGGGAGGAGGGGAGGAGGGCCGATGCGTGCGTGGTCAGCCAGGGGACCGGAGAGCCGAGGGCCAGAAGCTGCCTCTGGGAATTGTCAATTTACTCCCACAAAGTAAAATCGCAGGCGTCCGAAAACCAAAAGCTACCGATAATCAAAGCGAAGGGCACCTGGGAAAGCGAGGCCGGCGACCTGCAACGCGCCCGGCCAACGGGAGCCTGTTCAGTCCCTATGGAAACTGGAACCCCAGCCGGACGGCGCGGAGAGCAGCCCGCGGGGAACGGGCAGCACGGGGGAGGAGTGCCCAGCGCACCAAGTCAGGGCACAAACCACAGCCTCGCAGGAGGCGTCTCTGCTCCTGAGCTGGGAGACCCGGGGCGAACAGCCGCAGCCGGGTCAGGCCCCGGGGGCCCGACAATAGGGGCCGAGGCCGGACTCTGGGGCGTTGCTGTGCGTGTCCTGCCCCAGCGCTGGTGCCACAGAAATAACCCAGACGCCGAGCCAGAGGGGCGCGTGACCGTGACTCGGGGAAACTACGGAGACGGGAAAGGACAGGACAAATGAGCCTGGGTCCTGACCACAGAGGAAGCGGCTTTGTGGAGGAGCGATCACAAAACAATATTCGGTGAAAAAAACAATAAAACTGCCCGTGGGATCCGGGGGGGTTTTATTTCCCTCCTTCGTTCTCATTCATGTTTCCCTACGTTTCCACAGTGAACGGGGCCACGTTATAATGAGCGTTATTTTTGAAGGAGGCAGGAGGCTGGGAACACGTGGTGGCAGGACGTCCAGGGACAGGCAGATGCACTCGAGACAGACGGACTTCCGTGTCTAGAAAAGGGCCTCACTCAGCCAGCTCTGTGTACGGAAGGTTCTGGATAACGAGGTGAGTCCACACAGGGACAACAGGGTCTTAAAAAAACACCACTTTTCCCAAAAAGGCTGATCTGTGACCCTGAAAAGGTGAGAAAGAAGCAACAAGAAGAGCTGAGGACATCGGTTCCAGTTCTGCCGGGACAGCTGGGAGAACGGGGCGCAGGTTGGGCCGGGGAAATGCCGCAGAGGGGCTCCTCCTGGCTGGATCCTCCTCCAGGACCGGACAGTCCACCTTCCACCTGGGCCCGGCTCTGCTGGGGGGGGGGGGGCACGCTCCCGGTGGTGCCCTTAGAGCAAGCAGGCGGTCCCTGCGTCTCCTTCATGGCTCCGTCTCCAGGTGTGGCCGCGGGTCTGAGGAGCCAGTGACCGAGTGCAGTTCCCTCCCCAGGCACACACTGCAGGGGCCACAGGGTCAGATCAGGCCGACGCGGTCCCGCGAAGGGCACATGGCACGACGCCAGGGGGCAGGACGGGCTCGTGCTGCAGGCGGCTGGGCTC